GCATTCCTGTTTCCCAGCTAGGGCCCCAAATATTTATAGAGGCTGCTTAGTTTTATTTTCTTAAACATGTCTAGTTTGATTCTTTAAGGGGCATCAGTTGTAAAGTCTAGAACCCATGCTATAGAAATTACCTCTAGTTGTACAATCCACAGTCAAACCTAAGTGCACAGTAAAATAACCTGGGGTTAACTCCCCGTGCTCCCTACACAGGGCTGTGTGAAGCCCCTGGCCAGAAGTAACTGAGGTTGGGACTGTCCATACTTCCCTTTGTCATTCTGGTGGGGCGTCCCCACCTGCAGTCTGTTCCGCTGGCGTGGCATCAGGGCTGGTACCCACCGTAATGAGCTCCAGCTGCCACTTCTCACAGCCCCTTTAACCCACCCCAGCTCTAAGCTCCACTGGCCGGGTCTCCTCTACTTAACGATTTTTGTCCCTGATTTGAGACTGCAGAGCTCCATGTAATGGGGGCCTCTGGTTGAGAGGGGACCCTGGAATTTTTGAAGTCTTGATGGCTAGAAGAGAGAAAACATCACTCTGGTGAAGCTGCCAGCACCCTTCTGACTCATTTTTAGGGGAAGTCACTAATGGGCCTTTGGTTTTGCAATAGTAATAGCAGAATTCTGTTGCAGCATGGGGAAGTTTGAGGCATGATCATGTAATAGGTTATCTTCACTGTGGGCAGAAGTTTATGGAGGAAATGATTAAGCTGTTTGGGAAAGAGGCTGAGACCCAGGTGGAGTCCAGAGAAGGCTGAGCATAGGGGTCCAAGCCCTGAGGCATCTGAAGGCCCCTCTGTGGGGAGAGGTAGGCCTGTGGCCCTGCAGCAGGGGCGAAGTGCAAGGGACGGCCAGAGGACCCCTTAGCAAGGTCCTCCAGGGCAGAGTTTTAATTCTTTCTTCTTCCACAATCTGATTCCTGCTTAGGCCTTTAGTAAACTTTTGCTTCGTTTTGTCCTTGGTCTTGGCTTTGCTTTGGGGAAGGGCTTGTGTCCGTACGTGGGATGGCATGGTGAGCATGGCTGTAACCTGGGAAAGCTGGTTACAGGGGAACGAGAGGTGACCTTGTCCTTGTATAGGGAATGGCAGGGTTGGAGATGGGCTGGGGCATCCACCAGGATGGATTTGTAGGGCATGCGAGCGTCCCTGGACGTTTCCAGGGATGTCAGGTGGGGTGAACCTGGTAAACAGTGCCTGGGGTGCTCTGTTGGTGTTCGAGGGTGGGCCAGAGACCTTGGGCACGTCGTGCACTCGGTGCGCATGCTGCACAGACCCTGCAGGTGAGACTCGAAGGCAAGCAAGCCAGCTAAGGGGGTCAGGTCTCCTTGGCTCCTGGCTGTCCTCAGGCCGAGTGCTGCCCCATCGCTCAGCTGGGCCAGGCTTTTCTCTGAGGAATTTCCTGCCTCATTGCATGTGCCCTGCTGACTGCCAGCCCCACCTCAGTCCAGCCCACTGCATTCTACTACTTGTCACCCATTCTATGTGGCTTCCACTGGCTCCACATCAAAATCTAACTCAGATTCAAAAGACCACTGCTCTAGGTAGGATGGAGAAGATGTGGCTTACCAGCAATTCACATAAAGCCAATGTCAGTGGTGTGATGTGTTTGCCAGGAAAGCCAATGCATCAATAGAAGCACAGCGAGGTAAATAAATGGTCCCCTCCTCCTTGGGCAGGTCAGACAGTGTCGCTTCAGATCCAAGCATCACATTTGAAGAAGTGAGTTTTGTTAAGATGAGGTACAGGAAAGTGAACGCTTAAAACCTGTTTAGTGGAGGTGGCTTGAAGAGCTGTCAGAAAGTAACCAGATGCTCACCAATTCTGCTTCCTCTTCCTGCATAGAGGAAAACTACATTTCCCAGCCTCCCTTGCAGTAAGGTAGGGCCATGTGACTGGGGTCTGGCCAGTGGAATGTGAGTAGCAGAGATATCAATCACTTCCAGACTTAGCCAAACACCCTGTGAGATTCTCTGTGCAGCTTCCTCTACCTGTGTGGATGGAAAGAGAGGACCCCAAGAGGATTGGACCTCTTGATGGAAGGATCCTGCCATCCTGAATCACTGCCATCATTTGGAAAAAGACTTGTCAGCAAGGAGCCGTTCATTGGACTTTGCATGAAAAGGAGATCAACTTTTATTGTTTTAAGGCATTGACCTGGCGAGTATATACTGCAATACAATCCAGCCTTGTCTGACACAAACTATGTCAGGTATGAGAGTCATCTGCAAAGCCCAGTACCTGTAGAGCCACATGGTTCCAGAGGCCAGAACAAAAGCCAGTGGGAAAAGTGGTTTCACTTTGGCTCATTAGGAGTCTGCCCAACCTTGGAATGATTTGTCTTGGGGAGTAGCAAACTGCTGTCATTGGTGGTATTTGTAGAGGAATTGGACCATTACTTTGGGGATATACATGGGATAATTCATGGAGAGAGAATTGGAAATCATGTCTTCTACGACACATTCCAGAGCTGATATCTTGTCTAATCTCACAGTGTCCTTCTGATAGTAGTTAAAGTGAATGAAAGTAGAATCCCACCATTTCCTTAGAGCGCTGGGCACCATTTTGGCCCCAGGGTGATTGCCATCAAAGACCATTGTCTTGCCAGATGAAATCCTGGGAACTGCAGGATCACCAGCTGCAAGCTGCAGGTTCTTCTGAAAAGCTTTGAACCGGGAGGGCCAGATTCTGGCTCTCTCTTCGTTGTACCAGCCAGAGGAGAAAAGCAGATGGAGATGTATTCTGTGCTGAAAATTTCTCCCACTCTTGTCTGGCCAACCCACAGACCACTGAGCGTAAACAGGAAGATGAGCCTTATCTTGCTAAGCAATACTGGTGAATAAGAAAGGAATCTGAAAGCTACTGCCACCTCAGACCAAACCAGATGGATCTTTTCCTCCACCTATTCCCTCAGAGAGAAAGGAGTCTTAGATGCCAATAATGTCCTCAGTCTGTTTGGAAGAAGGAATGACTCTTCCAGAACACTTCGGGAATCTGACCCAGAGAGGGATTAAGTGACCAGAACCAAATTTACATTTAATATGATGCACTTAATCCTTAGCGGTAAACATGGAGTCTGCCGCTATCGAGAAGATGCTCCAGCCTAAAAACTCTGGTCAGCAGATGTGGGCGTCCCAAAACCAGACCCAAGCAGTGTGGACAGCCCCCAAGAGATGGCTGCAACAGGCCTTCTGGCTTTGGCAATCCTCCCTGGTGAGGAGGGTCTGGTCAAGCCCTCCCTCACTGTGGGGAGCAGCTACTTGGTAAAGGGGTCACATGTCCAAGGACAGGAGTGACATTCTGCAAACCACAGGGCTGGGCTCTGCCAAGGACAGAAGGAGTGACATTCTGCAAACCACAGGGCTGGGCTCTGCCCTCACAGGGGAGGTGGCCACGTCCCTGAAGAGCTGAAGACACTTTATGAATCTCAAGAGGAGGAAGGGAAGACCCTACTGCACTTGAGGGCTCCATCCTTCCTGGACACTGCTGGGTGATCAAGAGTGAACCCCCCAATTGCTCTGTTCAAGTTTTCCATGAGAAAGTCAATCCTGGGCCTTGCTGACTCCACTGGGCATTTCAAGGGCCCCTGGATCTCCCTGGGGTTAGAAGACCCTCCTTCCCCGTAAGGACTGCCTCGCACACCTGCTGTGGCTGGTTGCTGTGTTTTATTTGGAGACTCCAGTTTGCTACATAAATCCATTGCACAGTCCAACACACGCACACACACTTGGCATAAAAGAGAGGACAATACAAAAATACAACTCTTGATAGTAAGTGGAACCGCCCTCAGCTCATCCCAGTCCATCCCAGTCCATCCCAGTGGGCACACTCAAGTCTAAGGTCAAAATAGAGGGGAATTGGGAATGAGGAGCCATAGAGGACTCAAGCAGTACCAGATCCTGGGCTGGGGCTGGATGGGCTTTTCTTGGCTGTGTGGCCATTTCAGCCACCTTCAGACTCCCTCCTCTGAGTCACTTCCTCCTCCAGCCTCTTCAGGTTATGGCAGGCCCTCTATAAGCAGCTGGGGCAGGTGCTGCTGAGTCAAAGCCAAGTATAGCCTTGGGACCCCACTTCTCTAGGACAATCCAGCCTGGGCTCTCTGCCACTGGGCACCCCTGTTGAGAGGGTTAGGGGATGCAGGGTAAATCTACCTCTTGGAGAGCGGGGAAGAGAGGGGAAGAGAGATTGGAAATGTTCTCCCTGGCCCTCTTTTTAGCAGATTTCTGAAATGTTCTGATGCCAGCTTCTACCTCCCTGTCCTTGTCCCACCTATCCCTTGGCTGTGAGGACACGAGTCTCAGGGGAGTCAGAGCCGGCCCTACCCGTCGACCAGCACATCCGGAGAGCTAGCACTTCCGTTAAGATGGGCAGGTCCCCGGAGCAGCGATAAGCAATTCTGGTCCTTGGTATGTTCACCAGGGCAGGGGCTCGACCTGATCAGCACAGAGGGGCAGGAGAGCTGAGCCCGTACCCCGCCTTCCAGGACAGGACAAAAGGTGGCGGTTGGTAGCCTGGGCTACACACAGCCCGCGGGCCCACTGTCACTCTCCAGGTGTGTGAGGTGGACATCTGGCGGAGGAGCCGTGCTGGAGAACGAAGGAGACAAGGTGAGCCTGGGGCCACCTCCTCTCTGCCACAGGGGCTGTTTTAACCATAGTGGAGCTTTGGGCTGAGAGGTGCCAGAGAATGCATCTCCGTTTTGTTTGTTTTGTTGTCCCTGGGACCTCGGGAAGAATGCCATGCTCCTCTGTGAGACCGCTAGACGCTCCATAGTGGGTGCAGCAGGGGACGGAGGAAGAGGCCCAGGTGGGGGGTCACTGCCGAGAGTCACATGCCCTCACCTCGGCGTCTTGGCCCACAGCTGCCGTGGAGAGCCTGGCACGTTAACCATGAGCGCACACACTCCCAGGCCTGCGAGTCTGGCGCTCCGGGGCACATGGAAACAGAACAGTAATAGGGAGGAATCTGTGTGCAGGGAGCCCGATTAAACACCCTGGCTTTAGGTCTGTCCTGACACTTGTGCCTCAGGACTGACTTTCTAAAGGACCCCAGACATTGCCCCAGGGAGCCCCGAGATTTGTTTTCCATCAGCCCTGACGCTTCGGGATTCTGCTCAACTCTCCCTGTGAAATTGCGACATGGCTGGAACTGGGGTCTCTCCTCTGCCTGTCATTCCCCTCACTGTCCCCCCATGCACATTCCTAGTGCCCCAAATGCCCCTCCAACTTCCTTCTCCCCATCCAACCAGTGTGTCACCTCCTTAGGCCACACAGGTGCGTTTGCATAGGTGCCATCTGTGACGACGACACCGGAGGCCCTTGAGTGGCCCTGGCACACCCAAGCACCCAGCCCATCTCCCAATCTTCCTCTCCCGATGTCCCCACACTGCGTACCCCACCCCCACCCCAGCTTCTCTCTGAGGACCTCCGGGAGGTGGCGGTTCTCTGTCTTCTGCCCGCCAGCGGCCCGGCCTGCCACAGAAGACAGCGGGGGCTGACGGCGCTGGTCCTACCCTCGGCAGCCCCATCAGGCTCTGCAAGCCACAGCAGGCTCCCTGGGGCCAGAGAGGTCTTGCTGCAGCCCAGGCCCCCGGTTCGGTGGCCCTGGCCCCTTGTTCCCTCCAGCAGAAAGAGGCACCTGCACTTGGCAAAGCGGGCGGCAGCCAGCCAGCAAGCTCAGGCCTCACTTCACCCCACACGTGGGTGACCCCAGCTAGGCCAGCCCGGCCGTGGGGGACCCTGCCCCTCCAGGAGAGTCAGGGGTCTGGAAGGTTGAGTGGAGCTTCGTTAACAACTCGGGCTCGTTGCTTTTTCCCCCAGAGGCCCCGGGGGCGCCCAGTGGATAGGCCTCCCTGGGCCCGCGGGTCCTGGAGCAGGTGAGGAAGGCCAGGCAGGCCCCGCGGAGCCGGGCCAGGTCCCGGTGGGTGGTCTCGCTGACGAAGCAGTAGAGCACGGGGTCCGCCACACAGTTGAAGCTGGTGAGGAGCAGGGAGAAGTGGTAGGTGTTGAAGACGCCCTTGGCAAACTCGCAGTTGGACTCCCAGAGGCTGCGCACGAGCAGCAGCGCGTGGTAGGGCAGGAAACAGGCCAGGAAGATGACGGCGGTGCTGAGCACCAGCCGCCGGATCTGGTCCTTGCGGCTCTTCTGGGTGCCGTGGCTGCGGTGCACGGCCCGCAGGATGCCGCGGTAGGAAGCCAGCAGCAGGCAGAGCGGGAAGAGGAAGCCCACCACGAAGCGGTAGTAGTTGATGCTCCGCTGCCACGGCTGCAGCGGGTAGTGCTCGAAGCAGACGCGGTGCCGGTTCTCGTCCTCCACCACCTCCGCCTGCAGGAGGAAGTAGACGCTGGCCAGCAGCTCCTTGGCCCAGATGACCACGCTGACGCCGACGGCCGCCTTCAGGGTGCGGAACTGGTGGAAGCGGAAGGGATGGGCCACGGCCAGGTAGCGGTCGATGGAGATGCAGCAGAGGAAGCCCACGCTGATGTAGATGTTCTCATAGAGGAGGATGCCGCACACCTGGCAGGACAGGTCCCCGTAGGCCCAGTCGTCATGCTGCAGCACGTACTGCAGCCAGAAGGGCAGCGAGCAGATGTAGAGGAGGTCGGCCACCGTCAGGTTGCACAGGTACACGCCCAGCTCGTTGCGGGCCTTGATCTGCAGGTAGCCGAAGTAGAGAGACAGGCAGTTGGCGGGGAAGCCCACCACCAACACCGTGACGTAGACCACCGGGGCCAACGTCTGGTGGATGGTGTGGTCAATGGCACAACTCAGCGAGGAGTTGTCTGCAGTGATGTTGCCCATCTTTGGGCCCGAAGAGGCCTCGCCCCTCATGGGCTCAGGATGTGGGCCTGTCTCTCTGCGGCCATCTTGTTTATAGGATGTGGTTCGAGCCGTTTCAGGGGCTGGGCCTCCTTGGTGGGGTGAGCCCCTGAAAGTCAAAGGCAGGAAAGGCTTAAAAAAATAGGAGCTAACATTTGTATAGCGCTTACTGTGTGTCAGACACTGTTCCAAGCGTCACATTTAATTTAGCAGATGAGCCAGCCAACAAGCTCCAACACAGCTAGGATATCGAAACGTGATTTACGTCTCCCCGTCCTCCTCCCCTGGCTTCCTGTCTCTCATTTATTTTCCTGGTCCTTCAGCTCAGCACGTAAGGCCTGGAGGTCCTGTGAGCACAGCTCGTCCTGAGCCCAGCTCTAGAGGGAAGCTGGAAGTAAGGATCAATTACAACCTACACACGACGGTAAAGTCCTGGCCATTCTACTATTCTAAGTGTCATTCACTTTTTTCCTGCTTACTCATGGGAATGTACCAGGTCAATCAACCGCGAGGCCACAGCCCCTTCTGGGGGCCTCTCCAGACAGCTCGGAAGAGGCGCAACCTTGCCCACCTGCCAGCATGCTCTGGCGAGAAGCCAAGGCTGAGCCTCCCCCCGGGGCACTGCCTGGATTCCTGGGTGCCCGTCAGCAGGTGCCACCTCCCTTCTCCTCCACAGAGCCTGGGGACCCAGCACGGGGCGACAGGCAGTGACAGACGTGAGCACCAGGCCAGGGGCAGCTGCTTACAGGCTGTGCAAGCCATTTGCCCTTTCTGAGCCTCAGTTTCCTCATCTGTAATTGGGGATAAAAACGCCTGCCCTCGGGGTCAGCGTCAGGGCCACATGAGATGGTGGGCGTCACAGTGCACGGCATCGTTGTCCCAGCGGCAAAGAGGCCGAGTGAGAGATGGTAATGCCGCTCACGTCAGTGAAAACTTCATTATTGATAACAAAGAAAATGCCATATATACAAGTACCTTTGAGCAAGACAGAATAACCTTTTTGTTGTTATGTAAGCCTACTTTATACATGAACGTATCAAAATGAAAAGCCTGAGCTGCTCTACTGATTTGACACTTCTGGTTCAGATGAAAACTCTCACTAAATCAGGATTTTTCAACCCTTTCCCCCCCCCAACCCCCGCCCCATAATCATCCTTCATCCTCCTAAGGAGCATTTTTAGACATTTTTTTCGTACCCACCCACTCCATGAAATTTTAATACCCCAGGTAGACTGCATATCTGTTTATGTACAATGACCCTTTAGAAGGTGACAAATCATTATAACATCTCAGCTTTTTTCACTCCACCCAGGAACCAACTTTCACCTCCTCCTTGAGAATGCACGGTCTGTATGGTTGCAAATTCTGAATGAGTGGGGTCTGAATTAGGCTGTTTTGTGCTATCAGCAGATCACCCCTGCCCTTTGCTCTCTCTTCACCATAGTCAGGCTAGAACTGTCCCACCAGAAGATAAATCACTCAGAGTTCATGACCTATATACATCTCAGCACCTGCTGACCAGCCCCCTCTGCCCCCCAACCTCCGACCGACCGGCCCTGTAGAGGCTCCTGCATAGCTCTGTGGCCACCTGAGCCTGGCTCAGTCTGGATGTGGCTACAGCATGCTGAGAAAGGGCTCAGAGACATCAGCCCCACAGCTGCAGTTCTGGGGTTTGTGGAGGATAAACTTGAGGGGTTCCCAGGAAATCAAATGCTCCATCTTATATAAGTATGTGCATTTTTTCCTGGGGAAAGGGCCTGTAGCTTTCATAAGAGTCTCTAAGACGGGTGAGAGATGGGTCTGGTCCAAAGCTACCCCCTTCTCACTCCGATTCCCGTGGCTCCCTCCACGGCCCATGCCAGCTCTCCCACTCAGGGCCTGGCCCATTATCCGCCCAGCACCTAAAATGCAGACCACATCCTCCTCTTCCTTGCTTAAAACCCACAGAGACCGTTTCTTATCACACCTGGGGCAGAACCCAAATTCTTCATGGGACCTACAAGGCCCAACGTGATCTGACCCCAGCTGCCCACATCTTGCCCATCAGCACCACACTCCAGCCACGCCGGCCTTGGTCACCGGCCTCCCTCCTGCCTCGGGCCTCTGCATTAGCCACTGTGTCTCTGAAGTGCCGCCCACTGCCCTCCCCGACCTGTGCCTCCACCTCAGGATGGACACCTTTTCTGCCGGATCTCAGCTTAAACGTCACCTCCTCGTGAGAACGTCCCTGACCACCCCGCTTAAGTAGCCCCCTCCCCAGTCACCATCACCTCATCTTATTTGATTGCTCCACAGAGCTCTCCTCACTATCCGAGATTTTTCATGTTTATTTACTTCTCTGCCCGTTGATGATCTGACTCTTCCACGAAGATGTAAATTCCAAGAGGGCAGAGGCCTGGTGCCTGGCACGTCACAGGCTTTCATGGATGCTTCTGGAAGGCATAAGTGAATGCTACCTCTCCATTTTACAAGTGAGGAAACTGAGGTTTCAAAGGGAAAGCGACTTGCCCAAAGCCTGTCTGAGGAAGGAAGCGTGAGTGTTAGTGTCCAGGTCTCCCTGCTCCGCGCCACCTCCCTGACCCGTCCAGTCCCCACCTGAGACTCACCCCCAACCTCTCAGTCCCCGGAAATCTAGGAATCCCAGTCGGGCTCACCTCTCATCCTTTCCAGACACAGGCCTGGAATTTCAGTGATGGCTGTGGAGGGGGTGCTGCTTGTTTTTGTTTTCAATTGTGGTTAAATGTATGTAACATAAAATTTACCACGTTCACCATTTTTAAGGGTAGAGTTCTCTGGCATTAAGTACATGCACATTGTTGTGCGACCGTCACCACCATCGATCTCCAGAACTCCCTTTATCATCCCAAACTGAAACTGTCCCCAGTAAACGCCAACTTCCCACTGCCTCCTCCCCCAGCCCCTGGCGACCGCCATCTTGTTTTCCGTCTCTATGAATGTGACTGCTCTAGGTACCCCACATAAGTGGAATTATACAGTATTTTTCTTTTTTGCAACAGGTATATTTCCCTTAGCATAATGTCCTCGAGGGTCATCCATGTTGTAGCATGTGTCAGAATTTCCTTCTGTTTTGAGGCCGAATAGCGTTCCTTTATATGCATATACTGCATTTTGTTTTTTCATTCATTTGTTAAATAAGCATTTGGGTTGTTTCAACCTTTTGTCTATTGCAAATAAAGCTGCTACAAACATGGGTGTACAAACGTCTATTTGAGTCACTGCTTTCAGTTTTTTGTTTTTTGTTTTTTTGGGAAGGGGCGGGTATATACCCAGAAATGGAATTGCTGGATCATATGGTAATTCTATTTTTAATGTTTTGAGGAACTGTCATTTTGTTTTCCACAGTGGCTATAAATCAGTGGCTGCACTGATTTACATTCCCACTAAGAGTGCACAGGGGGGTTTCTTGTTTTTTGCTTTTGCTTTGTTTTGGTTTGTTTTTGCTTATATGTTTTGACAGTGAGAGGAAGAGAAGAAGGGGCAGCTGAGACTCATGATCCCTAAACTCTGCCCACAGTTCCGTGAGTCAGAATTGGGCCCCACTCATCTCCCTCTCGCTGGCTCTCCTATCCACGAATCCCCAGCCCGCACCTGTGGGGCCAAACAGTTCACGTGGCTTACACACGAGGAAGGCAGCAGCAGCACAGGTCCCCAAACTGTCCCCAGGGGCACCCGCCCAGGATCGACTGGGTCTCGGAATTGACCTCAGGTTCTTCACGGGACAGATAAAATCCACCCGCGGGAAGATAAAATTCATTCATACACATAGGGCCCCGGGTGCCAACAAGACAGGGCAAAGGAAGCCACAGCGAAACACGTCCTGTCAGGTCTTAAGAATTCGGTGAGAGTCACCGGGCTGGAAGCCTGTTGTTTCCCAGTGATGAGTATATGCATATATGCGGTGGGCTGGGCCAAAGGCTTGTCGCTTCCTCTTTCCTAGGCCAACAATAAGTGAATTCTGGCAACCAAAGTCACAAATAGTCAAGCCTGCAGGGCAAAGAAGGGACATTTGCTATGTTTAAAGTACCGCCTAGGTTCACTTTGGAGCAAAAGGCAGATTTTGGTATTCTAAGGCAGCGGTCCCTAACCTTTTTGGCACCAGGGACCGGTGCTCCTATGAGAATCTAATGCCTGATGATCTGAGGTGGAGCTGAAGACGTGATGCTAGCGCTGGGGAGCGGCTGCAGATACAGATGAAGCTTTGCTCACCCACCGCTCACCTCCTGCTGTGTGGCCCAGTTTCTAACAGGTCACTGACCACTGCCGGTCCGTGGCCCAGGAGTTTGGAACTCCTGTTATAGAGCAGTAGTTCTTGAGCTTAAGTACATCTGAGTCACCTGGGGGATTTGTTACAACAGATTACTGAGCCTCATCTCTGGAGTTTCTGACTCAATGGGTATGAGGTGGGGCTGGAGAATTTGCCACGAGCTCCCAGGTGCTGCTGGTGCTGCTGGCCCATTAACCAGCTGCAACAGACTCAAAGGTCTAGAGGGTCTGGGGTTTCGCTCCTGATCAAGTGTCCTGCATGAATTCCGGGGCCAGGGAGCACAGGTGGCTAGAAGGCAAACTTAGGACCCAGCAGAAGCTCGTGAGGGATCAACAGCCTGACTCAGGGTTTCAGGAAATAGTGACTGAATCTGTCAGAGTATTTACACTTTGTATTTGCAAAACCTTTTACAGTTTACAGAGCATTTCCCATCTGCCCTCTTGTCTGATCTTTACCACCGCCTTGTTATCGTCCCCATTTTATGGACAGGGAAACTGAGGCCCAAAGAGAGGGAGTGGCTTGTCCCCCAGTCCGGCACCTCCGGGTCGCATTCACCGTGTATGTGTGGAGCATCTACAGTGTTCGCAGCACAAGACTATGCATGGGGACTTAGCGATCAGGAAGACATGGCTCCCATCCTCAGGGAGCCTCCAGTCTCGTCAGACAGGAACGCCCCACGCACAGATGACGACGCAAGGCGGTCAGCGCGCGGTGCTTCGGGCGTCCCTCCCGCCCACCCCGAGCGTCGGTTTGTTCTCTTCACGCCACGCTCTCCATGGGATGGTATCGTCCTCATGGTTTCAACCCCATTAGAGATCAGGAAGACATGGCTCCCATCCTCAGGGAGCCTCCAGTCTCGTCAGACAGGAACGCCCCACGCACAGATGACGACGCAAGGCGGTCAGCGCGCGGTGCTTCGGGCATCCCTCCTGCCCACACCGAGTGTCGGTTTGTTCTCTTCACGCCACGCTCTCCATGGGATGGTATCGTCCTCATGGTTTCAACCCCATCTACAGCGTCACGACTCCGGATCTCATCGCCCTCCCCCAAGCAGAAGGCTGACATACTCGGCGTCCTGCCTCCGCCCAGGACCTGCCCGGCGGGGCGCCATCCTGCTCCCGACATTTTCCCGGCGTCTGCTGCCCGCCCAGGCCCTCCTGTTGAATGACTGGCCTTCAGCTTCTGCCCCCACCTTCGTATGACACCCACTTTCTACCATTTTCACCTCCTAAGTATTTCCCGCGTCCATCTCCTCCTCTTCAGCTCCCTCGCCAGGGCCCCAGAGTGGCTTTGGGCAGCACTTCCTCCCCAGAACCGGCGCCACAGCCTCCTGTCAGATTCCCTGTCTCCATCTCGCCACCCTCAAGGCCATCCTCCAAAACACGAGTCTCACCAATCGCTCCCGCTTCAAAACTTCCAGCGGCTTTCCAATCATCCATCTGACTGTCTATCCATCAATCTGTCCATCCATTTGTCCACTTGTCCTTCCATCTGTCCGTCTGTCAATCCATCCATCCATGTATCCACCCATCCATTCATCTACCCACACTCCCATTCACTTATTCATTTATCCAACAAACACTTATTGAGAATCTATTATATGGAAGGTACTGCCCTGGACGCTGGCCCCTACTGTAACTCAAGTTGCTTGTGGTCTCATGGGAGAGGGGAGAGGCTAAGTGAACCAGCTCCTAAGGAGAGCACAGGACTTTAAGGGAGTTCATAAGAGGTGACCTAACCCAGGCAGAAAAGCCTTCCTGAGCGGCAGGTTATGCTAAGACCAGGGAAAAGGGGAAGGGCTGCCTGGGCAGAGGGGAGTTTCTGCCTGTGGAAACAATGCGTGCGACAGACCAAATCTGAGAGAGAGAGAATGGGCACCTTTGGGGAACTGGAACTAGTCTGGCCTGACTGGATCTAGGTCTGAGGAGGGCATGGCCCGAGAGAAGACAACAAGAATCTGTAGTAACAGCTAATTAGGACAGTGAAGAATAGTCAGGGACAAACCTGAGATGTTCCTCAGTGCTTAGTCCTTATAAGCTCTCATAAATTATTTGTTGGATGGATGGGTGGAGAGGTAAGTGGGTGGGTGGATGGGTAGGTAAGTGGATGGGAAGTTGGACGGATGAGGGGGAAGATGGATACATGTGAGCACATGGGTAGATAGATGAATGGGTGGGTGGATGGGTGGATGTGTAAATGGCTGAATGGGTGGGTATGTGAATGGCTAGACGGGTGATGGGTAGATGGATAGATGGATGGGTTAACGAACAGATGAATAAATGGGCTGGTAGATAGGTAAACGGGTGAGGGGTTTTGAGGTTGGGTGCTGGGAGAGTGGAGATATCGTTAATAGAAACAGACAGGTGACAAGCAAGAATCACTGTGGCCTCCTCTCCAGCAGCCTGGCACCTGCTCAAGCTGCCTGAGCTGCTCAGAGTGTCCTGCTTTTTCACCCAGGCCTTGTCCCTGAGGACAGGCACCCCCAGGTGGAAACTACACCTTGCCAGGAGTGTCCTTCCTCTACAAGGTCTCCGGAGGAATCATGCTCCTCAAAAATCAAAGGACGCAGTAAATGCGAAAGTGTCCTGTAAGTGGAAGGACACAAGCCCTACCTGCCGAGAGCTCTCCACGAGCCGGGCACACCTCTCGCCACCGGTCACATCCGCCCATTTTACAGACGGAAACACTGAGGCTCGGAGAGATGAACCAACCTGCTCAAGACGCTACAGGTACAATGCGGTAGGCCACGCTGTGAACTCAGACGGGCCCACGCTTTCCTTTATGTCATGCTCTCTTTCTGTTTTTCACGATGGTCACTGAGCAGCACCTTCTACCTCCAGGCTTCGCCAGGCTCCAGTCCTTACGGATGCTACCACGAAGGCCACCAGGCTCTGCCAGGTCAATTCTTTCCTCAACACTCACTGAAGAAAATCTGTGTGCCCGATTGTGGTTCCCCAAGGTGGGGGGCGGTGGGGCAAAGAATCAACACAAGGAGCCTCTGCATCTACCTCAGACACTTTATCATCCAGCTAAGAAACGGAGCCTATGCACAGACAACCCAACACCTAAAAGCAAATCTTTAGACAATTGCTCAAGAGCGTAGAGATGTCTCTGAGGATGTTAATGACTAAGAAAAATTAAGCCCCAAATGGAAGGAAGGGAGGGCCTCTTTGATGCAAGGTAAGACCTCTTGCATGTTACAAGCCAGGAGGAGCTGCCTCGTGCTGGAGCACAGCAGGCGCATAAACAGTGATTTAATCCGTCATCTGTCTCTTCTGTGAGGTGCACACGGACCCACAGACAATGACTCACTGTGCCAGGGAGGCTGTGCTCGCGGGAGCCCTCAGCCCAAAGAGTGGGGAGTTTCCTGCAGGTCCAGCTTCGCTTCCTTGAGCGGGTCAAACCTCCACAGGCTTTAAGTCTGTTTCATTTCCTAAAAGTGTTTGTTTCAGAGGCTGTTGATATTTCCCTCTGGGGCAGGAGCACAAACCAGGCAGCATTTTTCCTCAGTCCCTGTCTTTCCCCCAGATAACCTCATTCCAGCAACAGCGAGGAGACAATCTCATTTCTAAAGCCTTCATAACTGTCTCCAAGTTCAATCCCATCTGAGCTCACGGAGGTGCTGTGAGTCCGGTGGGGTTGGCACCACTAAGCCATTTCACAGAACCTGAAGCCCAGAGAGGCTAATCCAGGTGCTCAAGTTCACACAGTAAGTCGGGTGGATCTGAATCCAAAACCCAGCTCTCTGCCTTGAAGCTCTTTTGTCCATAGACCGCAGCAAGAAATACACTTGACAGTGTAAGCCAGCATACACAGACATTCTGCACACACACGCATGCACACAGCAACAAACTTCCCCACAGCAGTGCTCACCCTACCACTTGCAACGCCCTCTGATCACGTTTATTCTGTCTTTATAAATACAGCTCATGAGCTACTGAACTGATTTCCCGACCCTCCCACGGGTCATGATCCTGCTTGGAAACAGCTGGACTGAAACCCACCTGCTCAACCTCCGGTCCCCTGGAAGGCGATGGTCTCTGCAGCCAGGTGAGGAGCAGGCAGAGAGCAGCAGCGGAGGGGAGTCCTCCCAGAGGGGATCCCGGGTCCTCTGTGACTCTGCTCACCTCCAACCTCAAACAGCCCGGCTCCCTCCGGAGGCTCCTCGGCCTGGCAGGACGTGGCTCCCCCTCTAGCGATTTCCTGCAGACAGCGCCTCCCAGCTTGATCTAGAAAACCGCAGCTGGAGGCAGGCTGCCCATTGCTGAGCTGAGGCAGAATCATGTGAACTCCGTCCGTCAGTCCGATCTGGTGTCAGGCTGGCGGTTGCCCAGGAACACTCGCCAGCCACAGGATGAGGGCGGCATGCTGCTCCCTCCAGCACAGGTCTGCTTTCCACATACCGCAGAGGCAGGGAGCAACCTTTCGGGGAATGCTAAAGCCTGAATTAGGGACAGGGGACCTTGTGGACTTGGGGGATGCAGGAGGAGCGAGGTGCACTAATTCTACCCATCAAACCCCTTTGATCACCTACCGGATACCAGGAGAGGAAACAGACAGTTGAACCTCTGCTTCAGGAGTCCTCGCTGGAGCCCCTCAGATAGGCTGTTGCTCAGGTAACTAGATAATACCACAGACCCCAGCGAGAACCACAGGACCTCAGGCAAGGAAGGACGGGGGAAGATAACTTTCCACTCCCGCCCCCAGACTGTCACCCTGCAGCCACGAGCAATCAACATCTGGCTCAGTGGGTTGCACGTACTTTAAAAAATACCTGGGGAGCTTATGAAAAGTAATACCAATGCCCAGTCCCCACCCCAGACGAATTAAACCCCACTTCCTGGAGGTGAGGTGCCGGCACCAATGCTTTTAAAAGCTCTCTGGACAATTCCAGGGGGCAGCCAAGTGGAGAAGCCTGTGCTGGAGGCAGCTGGATCCTGCTCCGCAGAGCTGGCGAGTGCCCAAGAAGGGCTCTGGGCCACGAACAAGGCAGTGTGAATGTTTCAGACGGCGTAGCCCCCTGGGTGAGGAGCAAGCACAGGACTCGAGAGCCTCATGGGGTCTCCTGGCTCAGGAGCATCTACTGAATCCCCTCCTCAAGGCAGGGATGACAGGACCCCTGGAGGCTCCCTAGCCCAGCCTCCTTGTCATACAGGTGGGGAAACTCAGGCCCCGTGGCAAAGGCTGTTGGCCAGGGTCTTACAGCCAAACCATACAGCCGTGATTCGAGAGAAACATCCGCAGACTTCAGGAGCCCTGCTATTTTGGCGTAAGCCCCTCCCTCCGGGGTAGTCTCCTGCTGGAGCCAGGCAGCCCACCGTGCACGGGGTCACTGAGGACTTATGGGCTCCCTGCCCTTTTAGGTGGTCTGTGGGACCTGTCTTCTCCGGAGAGTGAATCGCTATAGTCCTGTTGGGGGACTGTGTGGATAGGGGTCCCAAGAAAAATCCCCCTCTGCAGGGCCTGAGCCCTCCAAGCAAATGCTGCTACACACAGGCCTTTTTCAATGGTCTCCTAAGTTACTTGCTGCAAAAGGCTGCGCCCTGTTATAGTGCAGTGGTGTGCATGTAGACACGGATGCTATTTCTGAGCTACGGCATGTGGCTGGCTTTCCCCGTTGTTCTGTGAGAGGGTGGGTGGATTAGGAGTGCAGGGTCGACTTCGTGGGGAGTGCCTGGCCTCCCCCAGGACACACCAGCCAAAGAGAATACCCCTGGCTCTCTCTCTCCTGGGCAGCCCAGCCTCACAGGACACACACACACAGGCCATCTGTACCATCGCTGTCTATACCTGCAAGAACCATAGATGGCACTGTGTCACCCCCCGCCAAGGGACCTACGAGCTGCCCCCAGGCTGCCCAGCCCCCTCTGCTGACCATATGTATCCACCTTATCTCACCTGGAACAGGGAGCCCTCCTCTCTCCAGGTCCAGGGACTCCCTCTTTTCCCTCCCCACTGGGCCTTTGGGACTATAACCAGGATGAAGCTGACTTTAGCTTTACTCAAATCGGCTGAGCCCATGTCCTCTGTGAAATGCCCACTCATTAAGGGAAAAAATGAGCCTGGGCTGTGTTCTATTTTGGTGCTAGGATTTTACCTTTAATCTAAAACAGGACAAGAAACCATAATGGCACCAAGCATCAAGCATGGCCTGAGAGGTCCTTGAGACCCCATAACCTCAACTCCTACTCCAAGCCTCTCCAACTAAACCTACCACTAAGTGAAAGTAGCTTGTAATAAAAACGTAGCCTTAAGAGAAGTTCCCTGTCCCACCTCCCCCTATTCAAACTTTACTCCTTAAGTCCAAAGTTGCAGAACCTCGGAGCTGCCGCCAAGCAGAAGAGGGCATTTCGTGAGGGGTGAGAACACCCGAGTCCTGTGGATGCGGTGACCTCACGGGGCCCATCTCTCTGGCTCCTTCCATCCTGGAAAGACACGAGTGCCTAAGTCGGGCCAGGCCTACCACCTGAATTCATTTTCTCCGTCTTTCTCTCAGCCCCAGTGACGGCAGACATGAAGCACGGCATGGCAGCCCAGATGGCGAGACTGAGCCACAGTGTCCCCGTCCGCTCCCAGCATAAACATCTGCTCCAGGCACCTGGGCTCCGAAGGGCTGGTGGACTTTTCTGAGTTGCTCTGGAGGCTATTTTGAGGGCAACGGGGCCCTGGGCCACAAGGCCTTCAGAAACCAACCAGCCCCCGCCCCCAGAGGTCTCGGCAGCCTGGGCGTCATCATAGGGAGGGCTCGGGAGTTACCCCAGAGCTGGTGGCACCATGCACGTCCTCCAGCACATGCAGCGATCCTGTGGTCCCGGGATGGAGGTTAAGAGCAGAGGCTCTGGGCCAGCCTGTGGAAGTCAAGTCCCTGCACTGCCACCGTCTGGCTACGTGACCTTGAGAAATCGCATTCCTGGAAAACCAGGGAACTTCTGTGAGAATCAAGGAGATGAGGTCCGGCAAGTGCCTGGCATTTAGTAGGTTCCCGATAAGCATTAGCGAGGATACGGTGATGACGAGGATGGCGGTGGTGGTGACAGTACCACGCTCTCAGTCTAGAAAGTCCCACCCTACCCTCTGACTGGGTGGAGGAGGGGCAGGCCGACTTGCTGAGCCGTTCGTTATGGCGCGTTGCCTACTCCCATGGCTACTCTACTGAGTTGGGGCTGGTCTGGGTAACAGCCTTGGAGGCTCCTCAAGGGTGCTGACAAGTACAGGAAGAGAGGGACAGGAGGGCTGGAGATTGAGTCCCTCTCGCGTCGCTCCATCCTGCCCTCTGCTCCCATTGTCACGCCTCCTCTGTCATGAGCCATCTGCCGTTTGCCTGCGGGGACCTTCACGGACACATCTTGAAGGCCCGTCGCTTCCCCCCAGGCCTTATGCTTCAGCTCGGCTGACATCAGAGGAGCTAACACAAGGTGCTGCGTTGTCACAAGTTCCAAAGTGTCCAGGTGTGAATTAAGCATGGCTTCAAGGACCGAGAAGAGGACCCGCACCAGCAGAGATTCTCCCAAAGCACCTGGCACCGCCGCCCAGGTGCAGTTAGAGAACAGATGGGAGCAACCTAGGATCGAGAAGCGCAGTCATTGCCGTGTTGGGTGCGTGTGCTTCGTATCAGGTACCGTGCTGGGACCGTCCAAATGTTTCCTGTTTTCACCTTTGCATCAATCCTGTGAGGCAGGGTTATCCGTTTTCTAAGCGAGGCAGCTGAGGCTCTGAGAGCGCCAGCAAGCCGCCTGGGTTCACAGAGCTGGGGAACAGGCTCTGACTCCTGGACCACTGTATGAGTTTCCTGCTGCTGCTGGAACAAATCACCACAAACCTAGCGGCTTAAAACGACACAAATTTCTTATCTGACAGTCTGGTGATCAAAAGTCTGACGTGGGTCTCGCTGGGCTAAAATTTAAGAGTTGGCAAAGCTGCATTCCTTCTGGAGGGTTTAGAGGGAAATAGACTTCTTTGCCTTTCCCAGCTTCAAGAGGCTTCTGGCACATTCTTTGGCTTGTGGCCCCTTCCATTCTTAAAGATGGCAGTGGCAGATTGAGTCCCTCTCCCATAGTCACATCTCCTTCTCTGACTACAGCCTTCCTGTCCCCCTCTTCCACTGCTAAGGACCCTTGTGATCACACTGGGCCCACCTGGTAAGAGGCAGTGCTGGGACTCAAGTCAAGGTCTGCATTAACTGAGTGTGAATAGTCGCCAGTGCAATGCATGGGAATTTGTATAATTAATTGCTGAGGCCCACCTCCTCCTCTACACAGGAAACTCCATCAGGACCAAGAAGCTGGGTCTGTGTGTTCTCTGCCAGGGAGAATGGTGGTTTGGCCCCAAATAAATGTACAACCAAACTATGTTGAATGTTTGAATGAATAAATGAATCTAAACTCCGTTTATTTCTGCAGCCCACGTGGAAGGCCAGCGTGGCCGAAATTGAAGTTAGGAGCTAACGGACTGGAGGAGACGGTCAAGATATGGGATGAGGCAACGGGAAGAGGGATGGTTTTGACTCTGAGGGTGCGGTGGGTGGCAGTGAGTGAAAATTAATTACAACGGAAGCCTACTGCTAAAAGAGAGACTTAGGTCTCTGGAGAGTCTGTGGACTGAGAAGGTCTGAGCTGCCTGGGGCGTCCTTCCTGCTCTGATGTCCAAAGCACAAACCACAGGCCAGCAGGTTGCCATGGTGACTCCAGACCTGCTGTCCCCACCAGTCTCCTGCCTCCCCACCCCAAGTGCTCCAACTCATCAATTAATAACCTAATAATGTATGACAACAGTAACTCCAAACACTCAGGGAGCAATCCTCTTGAAAAACAGACTTTTCCAGGAAACTGAGAGCTGCAGAGATGCTCGCGACCAAGACACTCTGCCCGGGCTACCTGCTAAATCTAGCTCTCTGAATCCAAATTACTCTCTCCCTCTTGTTTTAAAGGCATGGGGTTGGCAGAGCTGGGGCCTGAAGCCTCAGAGGTTCCAGGATAACAGACACGACAGCAGCCCCCACGTAGGATGCCTGCTCCCTCAGCCCTTCGAGGCCGAGAAACTGCTCCCGACCCCAGTGGGTTCTGTGATAGGGTCGTAGGCATGGATATTTGTATCTCTGCTGGTCCTCTAGAGCAAAGCTACATCCTTTGCAAAGATGAATTAATTTGTTACCATGGCACTCAGGGAAAAAGCAAAAGGGAAGATGTTCAAGTTTTGGTAGATTCAAGATGGTTAGAAATCGTTTGATACTCTTCTCATTGAAAGTGGGGTCTAAGTCCCCTCCCTTTGAATCCAGGTGGGTTCTGTGACTATCTGACCAATAGAATAAAGTGGAAGATGCTGTGCCAGCTTCTGAGGCCAGGTCTGACGAGACTGGCAGCTCCCACCTCCTGCCCGCATTGAGAGGAACCCAGACCCTGGCTGACGGCCCCAGCTGGATCAGCTGGCTTGCCACATGAGCCTGTGATTTTGGAAGATCCTCCAGCCCCAGCTGATGCTGCAAGGAGCAGAGATAAGCCATCTCCACCAAGCCCTACGCAAATCACGGATTCATGAGCAAAATAGGTGACTACTGTTACTTTAAGCCACTATCTACTGAAGTGGTTTGTAATGCAGCAATAGATAACTCAAATACA